AGAGCAACATGTAACAGGCAGTGTAAGAGTTTGCGTCTTTGAATCTTTTTTGAAATTTCAATTCAGTAATTGATTCGCACGGTTTTGGCACCATTAAGCTGCGGCCTCTTCTTGCGTTTTTTTTTGGTATAAAAGCCACTAATACAACCTTTGATATGGGGTTGTCTTGAGACCAAATTGCTTGCTGCATAGAGGGAAGGAGGAAATATACGACCCGAGCGCTGCTGATCCTCCAGATTGTTCTCTGTTCGTGGACCATTCCTGGTCTTTCTTTCTGCTGGCGTTCATCGCTCTACATTAATCTCACGCGCGGGTTCACTGGCATTTCCCTCCACCCGCCAATCGTGCATGACTAGCAAGCAAATGTTGTCCTGAGACAGTTCTATCTCAAAGGCACGTGGTAATCTTTAAATTTCTGGATCCGAATTTCCAGCAACCCCAGAGCTTTTGAGCTGTGGGCAGCAGAGGCAAAAACGGCCACTCCTTTGTTTCCATTGTGTCGTTCACACGGGATGCGGTGTCGATTCACAAGATGCTGATGTTGTCTGCCCTCGTCTACCTCATTCGGTCCCCCCATTCTCTCTCGCCATCGTGTTTGTCGCGAGAAATCGCTGTTGACTCCGAGATTATTGCCTTGCTCTCACTGCTCTAGCCTTTTGACCAGCTTCCTACCTTCAGTATGGCATTTAGGCTTGAAGTTGACTTTGCAATTTGCAAAGCGGATTAATTTCCTCGTTTTATAGTCGTTTTACTGTTATTTTTGCCTTTACAGCGGTTTGACATTTTCTAAGAATGATAAAGTGCGCTGTCATGCGCGCTGTCTTCCCCCAGTTCTCAATTCTTATCGAACCCGTGGGAATAAGTTGCAGGCCAGAAGTTGGTTTAAAGTCAAATGTTTCAACTGTCACTTTACACCGCTCTTTCCCTCTCATCTCTCGTCTTTCCTCCTTTTTTTATTTCTTTCGCAGATGTGAAGATTACGAAGGTATGCTCAGCTTGGTTTTGTTTTCGCTCATCTCTCATCGATCTCTGCACTCGTTCGAAGAAATCTCGGTGCTATTCGACTTGGAGGGGGCATTTTACTATTTCGCTGGTTTCTTTGACTAGTTCCTGTTTGTTAACTTGCAGGTTTCACCTTTGTGAGACCTGTAGGCTCTTGTCAGGTGTGAGCGAAGCTGGTGGTATCGTTGAGCTTTACAAGAGTTTACAGGTTTTCACAGGAAGGGAGAGCAGTGGTTGAAACGAGCTAGCAAAATGCCCCCCCAAGCCGAACTGCACCGGCAAATCCGGCTCGGTATCACAAGAGAATTTTTTTCAAGTGTTATTTTTACCTTTTCAGCGTGTCGTATGCCGTCGTCGTTTTTACGTCGGCATGTTCGTGGTCTGCTCCGGGGTAAATTCAGCCCATCACCAAGTTTAGACGACGCGCCCGAAGTTGAGGTAGGTGTTTTGGTCAATAATCACTTACCATTTTGGGCACGTTATTGACTATTGATATTGATTGGATAAAAGTAATGGTCTTCTTTCAGTATGACCCCCCGACTCCGTCGAACGAACAGCAGTCTTTCTTATCCCAGTGCCATTTGGCGGGTATAGATGGTCGTCGATTAGACTTCCCTGAGGTGAAAACTTGCCCATTCAGGGTTTTTGACGTCATGAGGATCAGATAAATCGAATATTTTCAGGTATATTTCGGTAAAACAGGTCTCGATATTCCGTGCATACAACTTGAAACCTTTGACACGGATATTTTCGCGAGTTACACCGGCCCAGATGGTGGATTGACACAGGTATGTGACCCAGCGCTAAGACTTGCCGGCGAGTTTGTTGGCGAGAGTGCAAAAATCACTGCGAAAGGTCATTCAGTGATGGTTTTTCACGCCTGAACTACTTCCTGGCAATGGTTTCTGGTTTTAAGAAGAGTAATTACTACCCCTCGTCTGTTGGCCCGCCTGCATTCCTACCGACCACCGCGACCGACCGACGTGACTGGTTAATAATGGTTGGCAAATGGCATGGGGAAAAACGTTCTGGTGAATTGATTATTGGTGGGAATCGGCCAGCTGAGACCACTTGGTCTGAGATTTCCTAGTGTTTTCGCACGGTTATAGAATCCAATGTCGCATGTTCACCACACGGGATGATCCATTAGCTTGCTGTTCAAGTTTTTGGGCGGTTTTCATGATAAGTGACGTGTCGTCTAGGTCTTATAGATAATGAAGAAAGGGTCTGACTGAGAATTCTTGCTCTGGTCACAAAGTCAAAATTGGACCGTTACCTTGGCTCATGAATGGTCTCACCTTTCTGTGATTCAGCAGAATTCGTCTTCAAATGTTCACACAGTTTTCGCCAAGAGTTAAGTGCATGGCGCATCCTAGAGTTGAAGCAGTGACGAGCGTTTACTCCATCCAGGAAAGATATCATGGCAGCGGAGTATATCGCAGTGCTCTTTACCTTTTGAGCCGTCAACCCTAATAGGCGTGGGATGAGTGGTGTTGGTGCAATAGTTCGTTACGGTAATCCCACTTTTGCACGAAAACTCTCTCAGACTCGTTAAAAATGCAGTTTTGTATGGTTTTCTACAATTTTCTGAGTGTTAGGCGAGTTTAGTAGTTATGAAGAAAGGGTTCTGAGCCAAAGGATGAGGTTTCTGTCCATATTGAGGGAGAGGAGTTTTAGAAACCAAAACGGTTTGCGAGGTTCTTTCATATCGTGGATGGCATCCCTATCGAAATCAGGAGAGTATTAGTTTTTTGAAGTTTTATACCAAAAAATGTCCGTCGTGGATTTAAATGCCTCGGCTGTCTGCACAAAATGCCCCTCCCTATTGGTAAAGCGCTTAGATGTAATTTGAACTGATCCATGAAACAAAGCTAGCTGTACGCTTGTTTGGCGCTAGGTGTTTCTTACCTAGCGAGAAGCTGCGCTGAGAAAAATTGGAGCGAAAGTGTCAGTTCAGTGATCCTTGAAGGCTCCTCCTCATTGTTGACCTGTCCAGCTTAAAGCAAGAGCTCGTGGTGGCTACATTTCGCTGCTATTTGCGCAGCGTGTAGGGTGTGTCAATAGAGGGGGGCATTCACGGTGAGCTGACCATTCGTTTTTGAACGGTCGTTAGAAAAGTGAACGCAAATTCGAATGGCCTTGGCGAAAAGTGGAGACGTGATGGCTAACGGGACGTGTCATCTTTCGCGGTGGACAGGTGGTGGCAATGAAAGAGGTCGACGTTACCAGTTCTTTCACACGATCTTATCGGGGGATGTGATTGCTTTCGATGGAATGTGAGATGACGGTGATTCGCCGTGGAGAAAGTAACCTTTCAGGGACGATTCTACGGACTTTAAAAGAGATTGGAGTCGTTGGTGAAGTTCCTTTGCGTTACAAGTTTGGGCGCAGTTCGGATTAGAGGGGACTGTTTGCTGGCTACCATCGATCACTGCCAATGTTATCTCCGGAGACCTGTGAATTCTTGTAAAGCTGTGCAATAGCAAGAGCTCCGTGTGCACTCAGCAGGAGTCTGCAAGTCTCACCATTGTGTGACATGTAATTTAATAACACGAAGTAACACAAGGAACTAGCAAGTGCAAGATGCCCCTTCCTAGTCGAATAATGCCCAAAAATGTGATCGGTTATCATTGTTTTGTCTCGGATTTTGGCAAAATGCACATAATACCGAGTAAAGTGGCTATTAGAGGCCACGCTTGGTTGTACTGCAGAAATTCGCATTTTATGACTCAAAACCCTAAAAAATCTGTATTCTTACAATTCACCTTTAGTAACCGAGCTGTAGTTACCAGCTAAGCACTAACGGGTTCATTAACACGAATCAGAGAAAAGGAACAAGGGAAAGTGCAAAATGCCCCTCCGAAGCCAAACAGCACCGGCCGAGCGAGCTCTAGGGTCGATGTCAGCCAGCTCTAGTTGAAGCCCCGTTGGCCAGAGGGGCCAAATCTCTTGAAGGTGTACCCCTTTTTACGTTCTTTCGCAGGATCTCAGGAAAATTGCTGGATTACTTGCAGTCTCTGAGGAGGGGTTTTTATGATGAGCTGACACTTGCCAACTTGCGATGGGATCTAAAGTCAAATTGACTGGGGGGGGGGGAATAGTGGAGAAGGTGGGTAGAAGAAAGGTAAGAAGGTGGGCGAAGGTTCTAGAAACCATAAATGGCCCATTTGGGGACGAGGTACTGCAAATATACTGTTAGTATTCTCCTTCTGCTTACAACTCTAACGCCAATCAACAGCTTGTAAAGATAGGAAGTCCGCTTGGGTGACTTTGCCCTAATCGAATAGGCTATCTGCTCTATCGCTGCCCCTTTTCGTCACGCTTTTCTTAGCCTTGCCCTTGGAGCATATTTTGGTGCAGAAGGTTCTATTCGAGCGAATGAGGGGGATGGAAGGCGTGAATGGCCTTCTAGATCTTGAATTCGATAAATGGTCCAGGCCCTATTAGAAGATTTAGCGCCTTGATGCAGGGAGCGAAGAAATGATTGTCAGTCAGAGGGGAGGGTTGAAAATTTTCGCCAAGATCAGGGGAAGAGGTGCCGAGGTGGGTGAAGCGGTTGCATTGTGCCCTTCTGATTTTGTATTTTTGAGCAACAATATGCTCCAATCTTTGGGTAAGCGCCATGGACTATGCGAGCGATAGGGCCGCCATTTTTTCCCATAGTCCTTGCTGTTTCGGAGGGGAGGGGGCGTAGTTTGTTTCATTATACTCGAGTCCAGGACTTGGAACTGAGTTCAGATTCGTGGCCTTCT